TTTTTTTGCAGAACCGGGGATTGAACTCAGGCCCTTGCACTTGCCAGGGAAGCGCTTATTCCACTGAGCCATCTCCCTGGCCCTTTAGTTGTTATCTTTATCATTATTCATGAAAAGAATTTTTTTAAAAAAAGCCTGATATATACTGAATATGTATTATTTCAAAAGATAACTGGAAAACTTACAGATTTTCTTTTCGAATGCTAGTATTTTAAACTTATTATGGTAATTTTGTACTAATATTCAGCATAAATAATATTTGGATAAGCATAGTGATTGGCCTTAATAAATATTTTTATTCTGGACTCAACATTACAATTTAGGGGTCAGGGAGATAGCTCAGTGCAATAAATGCTATCCTGGCAAGCACAAGGTCCTGAGTTTGATCCCTGGTACCACCAAAAAAAAAAAAAAAAGTCAACATTACACTTTAACCTAACAGATAAATCATCGCTATATCCTGGCATTCACGGAGAGTAGGCTTTACCAGAAATAAAATCTGTGCACCAACATGCCTACAGCCACACGCATTTACATATGCACACCTCCACAGAGCAAAGAGGAATTTTGTACAAAAGAGCCAGGAAAAATACCAGCTGACACAGTGCTCTGTATTTCTTGATACTAGACTTTCAATATTTGCAACTGTTTTTCTGAGTGGGTGAAAAAAAGGACTCCTATTACCTTGTACTGAACGTGCGCTAGAAGCTGCTTTCCTAGCAGGTCCCAATCTGTCTGTCTAGACCTGAAAGGTTTGAATATCCCAACCGGGCACTCATTGCTCCAGACATCATGAAAAACAGAAGAAAAGAAATCCTTGCGGTATTGCTCTTGGAACCACACAAAAACTAAGGAAGCACACACAGTGAGTATCAGGATGAAGGACTGGCATGCGATGCTGGGACAAATGGTATAAAAAATACATTAAACAGAAAATGGAATCTTGACCGAGAGAAAAATACAGTATGATGTTACAACCAAGAACACCATGTTTACCTAAGAAGAAACTTCTGAAATCCAGGCAGATGCTGAAATTAGGTTTTCTGGACACGTTTCCAGCACTGCTACCAAAGCCCACTTGATTGTGGCTAAGAACACGAATCAAGCTGTGTGTTCAGGGTCTCAGACCAGCCGCCCCGCGGGCTGTGCCCTGCGCCGAAATGCCATTCTGAGGTCTGATCCCACTGACAACAGAGAGAGGCTTGGGGCTGAGATGAAGTGGACTGAGAGCAAATCGGGACCCCTGTTATGCCGGGAAGGACTTTGAAGCCAGCCATGCCTCGAGGCCAGTGACCGCAGACCACTGAAAACTTAATTTTCTCTAATGCTGCCGAGGGAGGGATCGGCTCAGCCGCAGCTTACTGGACGGCTGGTGAGCTGGTGGGGGCGGGGAGCGCTGGGGCAGGACCGGGCAGAAGCCCAGTGCGGGCCTGAGGGGAGAGCGCTGCCCTTCTGTCGCTAGGAGGCAAGATGGTGTGAAGGGTGACAGAGAGGAGAGGGGCTGCAAAGCTGAGCAGATTTTAAGGGAAGGCATCACATCTACAGAACGGAAAGGAGAAAAATGGGAGGCAGGAAAAAAGAGAAAGCAGGACTTGGCTTCATATTAGTGATACTTATTAAAACATTTTTAGTGCAATACGTTTCTGAGAGAAATAGATAAAACAACTTTAAACATTTCCTTCCCGTTACTTCCCTGGCCAGTTGCATACAAGCACAGCAGCCTAAGACCATCTGGGATATAATTCAAATAATACAACAGGCCAAGCATGGGTAAGAGCTGATAGTCTTAATGACCATTTTAACTGTTAAGAGGAAAAGTTCAATTTTATTAAGTATGACCTGGTTATAACATTAGGAATAGACTTATTTAAGAATGTTTTTCCATCAAGTACTCAGAACAGTAAGGAAAAATAGTGGTCAAAATGCAAGATGAACTTTCAGAAGTGTCCTGTGATTGACTCCAAAAAAATGAAAGCAGTTCTGCAACTATAATGTATCAGACAAAAAATGGGATCCTCCACAATATTAAAAAATGTAATAACTTTTCAGTGCTGTTTGAGATTTGTTTTCCTTGCCCAACCTTGACAGAAGCCAAGTGTACCAACTAACATTTGCAAATAAGCAACCGAAATAGTAATATGATATAATTATTCTTTTTTTATGTATTTGGTACAGGGGTTCACTATGCAGCTCGAACTCATAGTGATTCCCTGTTTTTAGCCTTCCCGGCTCTGGGGTTACAGGCGTGCGCCACCAGGCATGAACTCAGTGGCCGACTCAGCATGCCCTGGTGTGGGGCCAGCATGGCACGTGGTGCAGGGGATTGAGCCCAGGTCCCTGTGCTTGCATAAGCAGGGGCTTAGTCTACTGAGTGATCTTACCAGCCCTAAGATAATTAATTATTCTTGGCCCAACAAATAAATGAATATTAAGAAAACAACTTTTCTCCTCAAATCTGAAGACTTTTACTTTTCCTTAAAAATTGCCATTGTAGAAATCTTACAGAAATGCAAAGACAACCACTAGGTTAAGTGAATTAAGTGTGTGATGTAAGTGCAAATTAAATTTTAAGTACGCTTCTTCCTCACCATTATAAAAACTCATTTTTCTACTATTTCAATCTTGTCATATTCTCATTTTTTACTTAAAAATTCAGAGCTTGCTTTGAAAATTACTTAGTATTAAACTTAAAGATGAGAGTATTTCCAACATGTATACAAGAGATGGTGGATAAAATTAGTTTCTTATCTGAAATAGCCATACAGATCATAAGCCCCAACACACTCAGATTTTTGTGATGCAGGTACCCATGGAGTTCAAGTGTCTTATCAGCAAACAGCCATCAGGGGGTTATTCAGAATTTAGAATTCCTATCTTACACTAGACCAAATTTTATTTTATAAGATCCCCCCCACATCTTTTTTTTTTTTTTTTTTAAGATTCCGGATCTTGTTATGTTGCCCAGCCTGGTGTCAAATTCCTGGGCTCAAGAGATTCTTCTGCTTCAGCCTCCAAAATAGTTGAGCCTGAGGGTGTGAGTTAGAATCTTTCCCATTAGCCCCAAGTTTAGTCACCAATAACACTGTCAAATTTTTCTGAGTACGAAGGTGAAGAAATTGAGATAAAAAATGTATTTCCCCTATGTATTAGCCATAGGCCGACGTTCCACCCCCTGCTGGTGACTTTCTCATCCTTCGACTGTGGGTCACTGATGCTGGACAGCTATCCACAGCACCTTCCCAAAGCAGGACAGGAAGAACTACTTCACCTTGGGGTTGGGGTGGCGGCCGATGACCAGGCGAACGGGTCCCGGAGGGCATTTGCTCAGCATGGAGTGTACTTTGCTTAGCGCCGCATGGCGGACGTTGATGGAGTTCACTTCTAGGATTTGGTCTCCGCGGCTGGGGAGGGCAACACAATTGACACTGTATACTAGCCTTTTAAAAGCTAAGAAAGCTTCCCTTATAGGGGAGATTTTAAATATGAAGTCTTTTGTGAATGCTTTCAAGGAGCACATGACATCCTTTCCTGACATGTAAAAAAGCAACACATTCATCTAAACACAGGGGGTTTTGAATTGGAAAAGTGCTTTACCTATATCAACTGACACTTGTAGAAGATAAATTAAATGGTAAGTAAGAACAACAATGAAGGCTATCATTTCTTGAGCACATACTGTATGCGAGGCCTCTGTACCAAACAATTCAATAATATTTCTAACAGGAATAACCATGTCCCCATTAAGTAGCTGGGCCCACAGGCTCACACAGGTCACCTGCATGCCACACACTATTGAACTAATTCAAGTCTATCTGACTTGATGGTCGTGTGACAGCCCTCGACCATCATCAGTTCTGCCCTTCTTCCTACCATCTTGAAATGATTATTATAATATAATTTAAAGAGGAAATATTTGAAAGCTCAAAGGTTACCCAAGAATTTGTAAAAATGTTTCACATTTGAACAAATGAGAAACTGGGGACAAGTTGCCCACTCTGCCTTGAAATTATAGGGAGAGAACTCAGAGGAGAGAACAAAGCCTCTTTACATGGGGTTTGAAGAATGTTCATTTGGCAGGCTCCAAACATATGGAACCATTCAAGAAAGAAACATCATCTTGGGATATCATTAAAAGCCTTTTTTCCTTGGGTTCTAAAAGTATATTTTCTTTAATGTACTTTTGGATGATTTGTTAAGGTTTTTTTTCATATGGAAATTCATTCTGATGATTAACTAAGACTGTAATGTAATCTATTAACAGGGCTAGCACATGGCAACCTCAGCGAATGCCATTTGAGCAATTTTTCAACTGCTGAAGGATTTAGATGCTTGTGAGGGAAAGGTGATACTGTTTGCGCAGGGCTTTGAGCGGTGGGGCACATTCCTATTAGGTCTAGGTGGGCACCGGCCTACTGCCACACCGTAGAGAAGGATACCTAGAGGGCCCTTCTCTAAGCAACACTCGTGCTGTGACGCAGCGACCTACGCTGGGAAATCAGATGCGCTGCTGGGATTTCAGAGAGAGGCACTGAGACATCCCTACTCAAACAGCACGAAAGCAATGGAGAAGGTCAGGAGACGGCACTGCATAAGAAAGCTGCGAGCAGTGATTCTAGACTGTATGAACAGTTCCACTACCTCATAGGAATTTTGTATAAGTTTTTTTCCCCCCTTTTCTTTCATATTAAAGTGAGAGACTATAGTAAGATAATTGGTATCTGTGTGGATTTTTTTTTTTTTTTTTCTTGGCTAGCTCAAGCTGCCTTAATGATGGGTCTGGTGCAGCTTGTGGAGCTGGGGATCAAACTGCAGTCCTCTGCGCCTGACTGAGTTTGCCCAAGCAGGCACTTTAAGCAACTGAGCTAACCCGCAAGCCCCTCTGTATAGTATATTTTGTCAAAATTATAAAACTGCACTTCTGAGTCCAAATAAAACCAAACAGGTAGAGATGCCAACACCCAGAGTTCTCTGATTCAACCAAATTTTATTTACATGAGCATTTTGCCTTTGACAATGCTAATACCTGTAATCTTGGCTGTCACTGAAAATGACTGAAGGATGCAGAATCCCATAAAAGCACGTAACAGAGCTAATATACGTGTGCGTGCTCACATAGTCAAGAAGCTACCAGACCCCCTTACAGGGTGGCCCAACCAACCTCAGGTTGCTCTCCATCTTGGCCACTGACCCAGGCGCGAGGCTGTGGATGTAGATGCCAGGAGGACTGTTCTCCAAAGCCAGGCAGCAGGCACCAATGCCCAGTCCAACCCTTGGCTCTGCGGGAGGCAAGGTGCAAAGAGAACAGCGAAAATCACACAGAAACCACAAGAGAACTAGAACTGATCTAAAACCATATTCATCTTCACATTGATAACCAGTTAGTTTTGGTCCAGACTCGGAATGGATTTCGGCTTTTGTTTCTCAACACAGCCATATTCTGATAATGAAATGAGTCCACGGCTTCGCCAGGGCTAAGTGTGGGCTGAAAATTATTCAGTGATTTACTTTCTGCTTAGTCTAAAGAGGCTTCATCAAATGTGTTGGTGGAAATGTGCAGAATATGAGGAATGTTTTCATTCTGGGTACATAAACTTTTAGGCTTTTTTGACTTTTCTTTTTGGTAACTTAGTTCTTGGTTATTTGTTGATCATATTCTCCCAGTGGGTAGGGAGGAAAAATGAAGATGACCACCCAAGACTTCTAGCTTTTAGTATTATCATATTCTTACCTGTATTCTTTACAATTTGGTCTATGTCCTAGAATTAAGCTACTCAATAATTAAAAAATAAAAACACAAACATGAGTCTAGACCACACAACAACTCAGGTTAGGAGAATTTGCGGGCCCTTGTGCTGCCAGTAACTTTTCCTCACTTTTGTAAAATGACTAAAACCTGTATATATTTTTTGTATTTAGGACAGGGTCTACAGGGTGTTCAGGGCCTCACTGCGTAGATTGGACTTGCAGAGATTTTCCTGTTTCCAGCCTCCCAAGAGCTGGGATTACAGGCAGGCGCTACCATGCCCAGTCTCAATTGCCATCTCAGTGTGCCCCAGGGGCAGGGCCAGCACGGCAGGCCTGGGAATCGAACCCCTGGCCCCTGAGCCTGCTTGCAGGCGCTTTAATCTGCTGAGCTATTTGGCCAGCCCCTTAAAACCTGTACTTTTGATTCTCCTGCCTCTTTACAGAGCACTATCTGTTGTTGACAGTGGAAGGTTCCAAAGGAACGATTCTAAGAAAAAATAAGTGGAAGTTAACCCAAAAACAGATTCCAAATTGATATCCAAAAGAATGCAATGGAAGGAGCGAGGAAGAGCTTGGGTCACCTTTGTTGAGCGTGACCTCCATGACGATTCTGTCCTTGGGTCCCGGGGCCTTCCGTCCCACAGAGGAAGAGCTGCTTTCGTCGCATGAGGTCCCCCCACTGGTGTTGAAGTTTGGAGAGCTTGATCTGCTCATGTGTGTGGGGGTCGAGCAGGGCGTGAGGCTGGGGCTCAGTAGCTTGGTGCGAACTGTGAGCACAAACAGCCCACTCCGGATTTGCTGTGAAACAAAAGGGAAAGTGGACTAAGTATCCGTACTCAGTGGGAAAGATCGCAGCAGACCCGCCCTGGAAGGAAACAAAGGAAGAAACACCAAGAGGGTTGGGGAGATCAATAAGAATGCTGTTACCTTGAAGGTATGAATGGCTTCTTGAAACGTCAAGCCTTTTATGGGTATTCCATTTACATCTAGGATTTCATCCCCTGGTGACCAAATGTGAGAATTACATTAACATTAAGCTTTAATTTACTGGAAGCCAATCGCTTGGTTAGTACTGGAATAAGATACCATATGGTCCCTGATTTACTACTCCATAAAGTGACTTTTATCGTTCTAATTCACTTTCATAGGCCTAGCTCCCAGCAATGTCACAAAAATGGGACAATTAATTAAAGTGCACGTTATTTTGCAATAATCCTAGATTTTAACCATTAATTAAAGCAACTAGGGGAAACATTAAGATCTTATTCTTTAACCATTGACAAGTGCAACAGGAGATGTCCTGTGTTGAGGGACTGAACTACAAATACCACGTTCCAAGTCCTTCCTCATAGTCATTGTTTAAAAATTTAAAACCACTGGCAACGAAGCACAAACTCATAAAACCTCTGAGAAGCCATAGCTATATGTGTAAAAAGACCAGATTTCCAGAGAACCAAAATGGTGTATAGAAAATAGTTTCAATGACAAAGTGAAAAAAAATCTCGCTGGGGTATTATTAAGCCCCACCTCTGATACCGTCCAGAGGTCTGGTCTTACTGATGTGGGGCCAGGTTGCCCATCGTGAGGACGGTGTGCTTCTGTCTCAGAGATTACTGTCGGGTAATGGCACACTGTCTAGGGTGACGGCAAGCCGTGAGGCGCACGCTCGTTGGCCTCTGCCCCACCTCAGCTAGCCCATCATCCTCAGCCCTCACTGGACATAGTCAGCTCACTCTTCAAGCTGTCGAGAGTGTCGCTGGGAAAAATAAAAGACCATAACATTCTGGTGACTTGTAAGAAAGCCATTTCTGTTTTGCACTCTTGTAACTCAGGCTGCTTTGTTTTGGAATAGCACATCATCACAAATACTACAAAGATGCCCCAGAGAGAACAGAGGAGCTTTGCGCTTAGGGAAAGAGACGTCCTACATGCACAAAGTGCAAGCCAGAGTAAGAACACACATTTTCACCTCTCGCAGGCAGCCAATCCCTGGAGCACATAGAGCATCTGATCAGAGGAATCCTGGGGAGCAGTTATTAAAAGGCAGGGGTGCCCCACATATGCATTGGGTGTCTCCTTTAAGGCAACATTGAAGTTGTAAAATACGGGAAATAATCTCTGTTTGAAAATTAGCTGGCAGAACCAACAACTCAACAATGTTCTGGGTTTGTGTTCACAGGGAAAAAGACAGAAACATAACCATGCTTGCGTGTACTCTTAAATTTTATGCGAGTTTTTTTTTTTTTTTTTTTTTTTAAGGTGCATCACTCACCAGTTGAAAATCCATTTTAATGACTTACATTTCTCACATATGAAGAGACGGTATTTAGGAGAAATCAAGTGCTATACACTCTTCCTAATTATTGATTTTTGTCTTCCCTCTGTTTGGCTCCATCTTACCAACCTCGCAGGGTGAATTTCAATCAAGTGAACACACGGCACTTCCATTATGAAAATGCTCTGCTAGAATTTTACACATTGGTCTGCAGCAGGACACAAATACCACCTGGGGTCAACCCTTCCTGCATGCCAGAGCGAGGAATGTTCTGCCCCAGCACGAAGCCGCTCTGTCCTGGGAGCACACAGGCTTCTGTGGTTGCTCTGCCTAAAGAAAATGGGACTCCGATTTGCTCTTTGTCAATTTACTTTTGAAGAGTTAACCAGTGTAACTCAACAGCCCCTGCAGTTTGGGTCAAGGGAGCTGAATCATCACAGCGCTTTTAAAGATAATCACAAATATGTATTTTGACTTAATTACTAAACACAGAAGGTGCTTGACTAGGGAGTGGAAAAATCAGGATTTATGCTGTGGTGAATGGTATTTAAAATCTTTCAAAACTTGTTCATTATTTTGCTTTATATAGACTTAATCTAAGCAAATATTTCCTAACAAGTATATAGATATGTAAATATACACATGCAGAGAGTCTCTTTCTATTAAAAACAGCTATTATGTCTGTCCATAAAGGAAACGGTGGCCTATTCAAATTTTATCTCCCAAACATCGTGATACATTAAAGAAGAAAGAATGACTTTCAAGTCTCTGGGAAGCTTGTGCCTTTTTTTTTTTTTTTTTCTTTTTCTATCTTTTTGAGACAGGGTCTCCCTATGCACGTCAGGTTGTCTTGAACTTGCAGAGATCCTCCCGCCTCATGACACCACACCCAGCTCAGCTTGTTTTTAAATGAGGCACAGGAGTCGGGTGGGAGAGGGGCTGACCATGGCAGCACAGCACTGGGTGTGAATTTCAGTGCTGCTACTTGTTAAGAGTGGGATGAATTTATAGTCACTAAACCCTTCTGAGTATCAATTTCTTTGTGAAATGACCACTCCAAATGCCTATTCACTAGTTTTACTACAGTGAGTAATTTAAGCATATGAAAATGCTTCATAAATATTTATAGCACTTAAAGTATAAGGTGTATTTGAACATTTACAATTTTTATTTGCCAGCTGTAACTTGGTATCTCAGTATTTGTTTTATTCACAGTTGGAAGGAATTGTCTAGATATTTACATATGGCAAGATGGTAGATGACGTGGAGATTGAAATGGCTAAGAGTGAAATGTCACGGCCAGTACCGTCCTTCCACACAGCCAGAGCTGAGAACAGAGGGAAAAGCTCTCAGGGATGTTCCAGGTAAGGAACACAATCAAGGACTAATCAGACAAGATGAACACTCATGTCTTCTGTGAAAATACAAAGCCACTCTGCACAGATCATCTCACTTAAGCCTCACAACAACTCCTCCAGGCACTGATATTCTGAGCTACAACCAAGGAATGTGAAGCTTAGCTTGGGTCAATGTCCAAAACTACGATGAGGAGGTGTTGGAAGCAGGCCTGTGCTGGAGAGCTCTCAGGCCCACAGCCTTTGCTCGTGTCCCATCCTGTCAGTGGGGGAGATTCTCGTGGAGTCAAATCTTGGACTTAGGGAAGATCACCCAGAGGTGTTCTCCTACCTTCTTTAAGTCTTCCGTCCTCTGCGGCTGACCCATTTGGGAAAATAGTCTTCACAAAAATCCCCATCTGGCCTCGAATGCAGTCTCGACCTCCAGCAATGCTAAAGCCAAGACCCTACATTCAAAGCAGATGGGAGTAAGGTTGGGATTTGCATGATCTCAGTGAAGGCATCCTTACCACTACAGTACTTAACTTCAGGGTCACTCTGAATCAGTCTTGAAGGTAAGCTACAAATTCAAGCTAGCATTCACTTCCCCAGCTCCCTCCTCAGATCTATTTGTATTACATTAGCTATGTAGTACACTGACATGTGGCAAGTTTTGTCCTCTAAGGACAGCAATTTCATGTGGATCAACTAACTCTTGAGAGTCATTTTACGCTATTCAGGTACCATATTTCTTTTCTTTTTAAACTTTAGTCTTCCCATTTTGTATACAGCAGTCCCTCACTTCTCGCAGAGGTTACGGTCCAGACACTCCTGCGGTAAGTGAAAATCAGCGAAGTAGCAATGCTATATTTACTAAAAAATATGTTTACACACACATTAAAAACAATTCTAATGTTCTTAACCATTTTCTAAACTTGTAAGCCTACGTCATTTTTTTTTTTTTCAGGGTCACGTTGATGTAATTTCCAAAAACATTGCAAACCCATAAACCCACGTAATTTTAATAACATACATATACTGTATGGTATAGTATGTATTCATCTGTACATAAAGAGATACATACTGTAAACAGTATATTTTATTTTGATTTAATATTCTTTTAACGTTAGAATTAACATTTAAATGTATTTTAAAAAATTTTAGGCACAAATCATAATTATACATACCATAATTATACAAACACATATGCAATACTGTATACTAGCATAACATCCCATAACATAGCAAAAACTGCAATAAATAATTGAGATTAATATTTCTTGATTTCATTGCTATTTGTTTCTCAATAAAATTATGGAAAAAAAAATGTCTTGAAAACCCACAAAACACTGAGTCCGTGAAAGTTGAACTGTCAGATAGTGAGGGATGAGGGTAGTTTCAATGTGTATATTTTGATATTTGTATATCAAGTTACTCCTGTCATTTATTTTATGACAATGGTACTGCTATGAAATTTACTCAAAAGAATAATGGGGTACACCCCCTGAAGCTACTTTCTGAGCTTCTTTCAATGGAGGTAAAAGTTGGAAGTCAGGAGTTCAGTTCCCAGAAACAACAACACAAAGGTCGGAGTTATTCATTCCACCCTTGCACCCTCAGTTCCAGCACCCCAGCAGCCAGGGGCCAGTGCTGCCTTACAGTTTGAGGGCAGGAAGAGTACGACTTTCTCACGTTTTGAGGCCTGCAGGAAATCCACACGTATATCACTTACTCTATCCCTCTCCACAGCTGTTGCTTTTTATTTCATGTACAAACACTGAAGATAAAACTTAAAAAATTGACCATGTAAAAAGAGCAAAATAAAAGTAATAAAGGAAGGGGATTAAGAGATAAAGTGAGATGCCTGCCTGGCAAGTGCAAGGTCCTGAGTTCAATCCCTGGTACTGCTAGGGGAAGAGAAGGGATTAAAAAAACAAAAACAAAAACAAAAAACTGAGATGTACCCTGCACGTGGATTAACTCCCCATCAAAATATAAGCAATATGTATGAGAAACATGTACTACTAAAAAGTCAAAACTGGAAAAATATTATCCATTAAGAAAAGAGAAAAAAAAAAAAAAGAGAAGAGTCTGCAGCCGGGTAGATAGCTCAGTGGAATAAGCTCTTGCCTGGCAAGCTCAGGGTCCTGAGTTCGATCCCTGGTACCACAAAAAAAAAAAAAAAAAAAAGAAAAGAGTCTGCAGAAAAGAGCTCACCTTGCCTTTTTCTTTGTACAACCCAATGATGGAGATAACAGATGGCCGGATGAGTCTCCAAGGAGATTCCACATGAGTCGTGCTCAGGGAGCGGGTGGACTTCTTCACGATGTGGTATTCCTAAACGCCAGCACATGGTGAGGTGAGAGATGTTCTCACTTCTCTTGCTGTGGGCTCTGGCATATAGAACTGCTCAGACTTTGGAAATCTCAGTTGTCTTTTATGTTACACAGTGATTTCTCTTTGACTCATCTCTGGTCTAGTGGTTTAAACAAAGTTTACTACCAATACTATCAGAGGAAGAGTCCCTACTGCAATACACGGCCATGCTTCCCCCCATAACGAACTGTTTGGAGACCACAAAGCACTTGTGTTGCTCTTTCCCTGCCTACAGTAGGCAGACCCTGCTGCTGGAATGAAGGTGGGAACCAGAAACCAAGAGATCTCCAAGATACGGGCTGACCACTGTGTGGCTGGGCTCTCTTTGGAAACTGGGACCACTCCCTGCCCCATCCTAAGTTCACAATCACAGTCACAAAGTACCTCAACATTTAAAGCTTCATTTTATTTATTTAACAACTCAGCAAGCCCTTGTTTCTTGTAAAATGCAACCACAAAGCCAGAAAACTATTATTCCACATAAAACATCCCACCGAGAGATGACAGCCGCTTCAGCTCTAATCCCTCACATTTGGAAAATAAAATACTTTCCCATAAGCCACACTTTCTCTTCCTGGCACAGAACAGTGCAAATCTCAACTCCTTTTTCATTTCTCTCATGCAAGATATTCCCGTGTGTTCACAGGGTGCACTATTTATAACGTAAACAAGAGCCTATTGCTAATGCACTCCTACAATCTAGCTCCTTGTTATTCTTCTTAGAATAACACCTTAAATGATGCAGATGTTCTAGCACAAGTCAAAATTTTTTCCATGCTTAACGTGAGGAAACACACATGGCAAAATGGTTTTTACCTTTAATTCATGTCTGTGACATTCAAATGTAGAGATGAGATGTTGTCCCCCAATGACATTTTTGTATTCCTGGCAGCTTAGAACAATTATACTGTGCAGTTTTACAGTATTTCTGCCAGTTATGTGGGCCTCCCAGACTTGGTTTCATTAAATAAATGATGTGGACTTGGCATGGTTATTACCATTTTACTGAAACCACTGCAGAGATGTCAGACCCAACCCATGGTTTCCAGCTCTCAAATACAGAGGTTCACATGCGACCTCATTCGGGAACTCTTTCTCTGGTCACTAATCTTTAGCTCTATCTTACTCAGCCTCCTCTTTAGGAACCACTGGGACCAGAGGCCTGCATGCTTCACAGGTCTGAGTTTCAGAGGTCCTACTGACTTTCGAGACATACTGTCCAACATGGTAGCCATGTTTAAACTGACTTAAACTGAGATGGATTACTCTTAAAACTGCACTCATGGGCTAGGGAGACAGCTCAGTGGTCTAAGCACTGGCCTTGCAAGTGCAAGGACCTGGGTTCGATCCCCAATACCGCATGCCATGCTGGTCCTGTCCCAGGTGCTCCATGCTGGCTACCGAAATGGGGCATGGTGGCATGCACCTGTAATCACATCACTGGGGAGGCTGAGATAGGCAGTCTTAGCTGCATAGAGAAACTCTGTATCAAATAAATAAATAAAAATAAATAAGATTTAAAAAAAATTTAAAAGAATGTTAAAAAAAAAACCCTTGCATTCATCAACCTCACTAGCTACTCCCACTACACTCCGTAGACACACAGCTACTTGGTGCAAAACTCTCCTGTCTGTGTGGAAAGTATTACTGGCTACTTGATTCTAAGCAGTGGCTTTTAGTGGAGGGAAAGAGAACAGAAGAAAGGTGAATTCCAGAGGAAAAACAAAAGGCAAGTACATAAGATAGAAATAGGACAAATTGAAGGGGGGAAATCGTCTTTCCTAAAACACACTATACTAGGCATGAACTTCCCGATTCCTGGAAGCCTCATTAGGAACAGATGTTTCTGGGCCATAAACATGGGCAGGTTTCCTCTGCGGGTCAGCTGAAAAATCATCACGTCAACACTCCGTCTTCGGCCATGATGGCAGTAAACCCTCTCATCTCTCACACTCACTAAAACAGCCTGACAGCGTGGCTCTCCTACCCCTTTTTGGTCTTCCCCTGTCTCTGTGTGTCTAAATGGATGATTCGGAGCCAGCAACAGATGCGTCTGTTTCTAGCTGTGGGTCTGGGTGACTTTTAACAGACCTCATATCGTTCTTTCTCTGCTTTTTCTTGGTGCCTCGTCCTCCTTAAGCTATCTTTGGGTGAATTCAACACTCAACCCTGTTTGATCAGTAGTTGCCTCTGAAACACAGGTTTTTTTTTTTTTTTTTTTTTGGTTTGTTTCCCCTTCTGGTCAGGTAAAAGCAATAGAAGCAGGATAAATATTTGATCCTGATGCAAAATGCACCATATTCATGCATTTTTCTAGCATACCACCTTGAGTAAAATATTTAACTTCCTTGAGATTTAGTTGTTTCATTTGCAAAATCATTACAACATGCCAAGTTAAGGGCCCAACCCAGGTAACCTGACACAAGCCTGTCAGAACTCTGCCATCTATGAGTCTCCAAGCAGGTATCACCAATACCACACACTTCTTCTCCAATTGTTTGATTGTAGGACTGGGGACAAATGCCAAAGGCCTTAGCCAATGGCATTAGCCTTTTGGCTGGTAGTACGAGAGCTCAAGGAACCCTGTGAGTTATCTAGAATCGGAAACTGCCTCAACTTGGTTGAGGTTTTTAGGGGCTTGGGGACAACATGATTAAGGAAGAACCAATGCTGAGAGGAACAGGCTTTGGGATACTAAGCCACTGACCTGTCACTGTGTAACAGGTAGGACCCAGGCCTGGCACAGGCTTAGCTGTGCATGCCCGCCACATAGCTGTGATGCTGACACATGATGCTCCCACTAAATAAGTGACGGTGGTTCACCACAGACTGTGAGACGCCATTGTTTCCTGGCAGTGGAAAGCAACTCTCAGTTCCAAAATGCACAGCAGGAAGGGGATCAAGATTATGTTAGGATCCAACAGGAGATTTATTTTCCCCTACTTTTTCAATTAGTAAGTAGGCTTATGATTTCCCTAGTCTGTCTGGGTAGACTTCATAGTTCTCCCATCTCTTCATATCTAACTACTCTTAGTCCACATGGATGGATGTTTCTAACACATAAGCCTTGTTGGTAATTGAATCAGTGGTGGGTAGAGAGAAAAGCCCAGAAACCCAGGGGCTGGAAGAGTGCCGTTCTGTCCATAACCAACCAACTGTGCCTGGAAGCTGAAAGAGGCGCCACAGCCCAGGACTGACCTGTCCTGTCCCAGAAGAGTCCAGAAGTTGAGGAAGGGAGTGCTTCCGGCCATCTCGGGAAACCTCCAGCATCCTGGCTCGAGGGTCCCCATTGCGCACCATCAGCTCATTATATTCTTCAACAGACTCCAGGCGGTGGACGCCCCCTTGAGAAAAGAGGCAGGGAGAATGTGCATTGCTATGGGACAAGACGACTGCTATGAACACCCATAGGCATAAACTGGCTGCATTTACACACATAAGCATAGTTTCAGAAGACCTGGCACCCAAGACACCTCACATGCTAAGCTCCCAGTGTCTCATCACAGCTCTGCATAGCCCACTGTATACGGGGGCCATGAACTCCTGCCTGAAGAAGTTGCCATTTTGGAAGTTTACACATAATGGAGTGCTACTTCGTCATAAAGAAAGACAAACAAGTCATAGGCAGGGGAAATCGTACATATACCTTGAGACCATAATGTTAAGTGAATACATCAGATGCACAAGTTCAATGAGTACATGGTTTCTCCTATAGGAAAACTCAAAATATAAATATAGAGCAAAATAAAAGCAAGAAGGGAGAAAGATCTTTTTCAAAGAGAAAGAAGATCAAGAAATTGAGACTGGGTGTGGTGCTGCATGCCTGTAATCCCA